CAAGTATGTTGGGGGTAAGCAGGCGTGTGCGGCGAGAGAATTTTCACCCCCTCTTACACACATACCCTCCGGTACCGTCTTTTTTACGCCGACAACACGCGTGCGAGCGCACACACATAGGAGACACCCACACACACAGAGGCACACAGGACGGGCAGAAGAAAATGCACAGCCAGGCGGCGATGCGAAAAGCCTCAGTCAGTCGCGGATGCAGGTGCGTCTTTCGCAAGGGGAAGTTGATTCTTATTTTGCCTCGGCCTCTCCGCAAAAAAGAGAGAGAGACTACTGCGGCAGTGCAAGTGTGGCGGCGGTGACAGAGTGGGGTCAAAGTAGTTAATAGCAGCGTCGCCATTTAGGCAGCCTGTAAAGAGCAAACAGCCACACCAGACACGAGAGGACAAATACGGCGGGGGGAGGGGGGCGGAGGGCAGCCTGTAAAGAAACCACCAGCACCACCTTGAAACGAAGCTGTCACTTTTTTCTACTCTCCATTCGCATGCAAGCATCTTATGCATACATCGGGTGGCCTGTTACGTCCATTACGAACCGATTGCCAATAGTAGAGAATATGCGAGTTCCAGGAAGCAGTTCAGAAGAAGAGGATGCGATCACTGGAACCCTATCTGCGCATGACCATGACTATGTTACCATCACCTGCGATTAAGGATTCCCTGACGGAATCCGAAACGTCAGGCAAATAAAACTCTTGTTCCAGTGATCGCATCCTCTCTTCTTATGAACCGATTGTTACCCCCTTCTTTGTTTATTCAACAATGAGGTCATTGGGGCACGACGCTAGCACCATTTTATAGGAAGTCCAATTTTGCTTACGTTTAAACATAAGTCGCAAATTTGCGACTCATTCAGCAATGATTCTACATGATGTTGACAACTGCAGTCTTTAACCTTTGCGCACTATTTGTAATCTCCCGATGTTATTTGATTTGTGTGCCTAATTTTATTCACGGAGGTTTTTGCTGAAAACTTTGGAATTATATTCTCAACATGAAGCATTTTTAAAAGCGCACTGGTTTGCCAAAAAAGGACCCACCGCCAACAGTGTGGGCTTAAGAGCAAAGGCTGACATTTGCGCGTGTGACACTCTTGTTGTCAGACGGTAGTGTTTCTCTGGCGGAGGAGTGTGAAACCGCCGCAGTGTAGTTTGCTTACTTTGTAAATTTAATTACCTGCAAGTGACACTCAGACGCATGTACTT